TTAATTTAGGTATTTAATACATCATTGTATGATCCGCTTATTTAAGTAATAATATTATGTCAGTAAATAGGGGAAAACAAATAATTTTTAGACTGACCACTAAAGGACAAAAGAAGAAAAAGCCTGAGAATTTTGTTTTTATTTTATTAAAATAAGAAAAAGTAAGTTATGGCAGTAATTATCTGAATGTGAAATGATAACAACAGAGTATAAGCTATTTAAAGATTTTTAAACTTTTATCCCATGCTGTAATTATGAGACTTTAGCTCTTGCTTTATTAACCGCATTTAAATCACAAACCTTTTTAATTAAAATTACTAAAAATTCATGCAAAAGAAGGGGGCCCAAATATTTGACCGTTTGGTCTATTCATATAAAGAAAAGTAAAAGTTGAAAAAAAAAAAAAGTTAAATAGAGTAAAAAAGAGAAAAGAAAAAGGTAGAATCGAGAATTTAAAACAAATGTCCGTTTAAAAACGAATAAAAAGAAGATGACTCTTCCTTTGTACGCATGTATGCAATTATCCTAGCTGCTGGTAAATTAGAGGACAAACCCCAAATACATTATGAGTTTCCAAATAGTGACGACTCGTTCGTATGTATAAATGTTTCCCATTTTTTTTTCATGTTCAAAAGTGTATCACATTTAAAAATTTTAAATATCTACTTATAGTTTTATATTGGTTGTACTTAACATACTTTAATTGTACATAGTTTTACTCATTATTACAATGCAAATGTTCATTTTTTTCCAAGACAGAGCATATATTTTGATTTTTTTTTGTGTGATATTTATAGTTCAGTCGTCTAACTCAAGCTTAACATTTTTCTGTTTTGTATATTCTTGCAACTAATAAATATCTATTAAAATATAAACATATAGTTGGATATCCGATTCGTTTTGTAATTTTTTAAAAATAAAAAAAAACAATTATAGAAATATATAAAAATTTAAAAATGGATACAAAAAATTACAATATTTCGTGTTGACAAAATGGTTACAATATTTTATAGAAAAAGTTGTCTACTTCTTTTTTGTGTTTTAAAAATTTGTATTTTTATAAATAACTTGATGAACAAAATTCATAAAATTTATATCTATAATAACAATTATACATTTATATATCTTATTCTATAATAACCAATAAATCATGCATGTTGAAACTTTGAAGGAAAAACAAAGTCATAGACTTTTATTTTATTGCTGCTGTGGAACCCTATACAATAGGAATACTTGATTATTCGTGTGCGAGTGTTAATAGCAGTAATGCTACATTGCTACCAATAATAATACTACTATTAGTATAAAGAAAATAGAATTAATGTTAACATTGATAAACACGAAAAAGAAATAGCTAGTTGGGTTCGTGTTCTTCTCCCCAAAACCAAAAGCTGATGATACTTTCCCTCTACAGCAATCAAGTTATCAAAACCCTTTTTCTATCACTTTATTTTCCCTTTTTTTTCCTGTCCTTGATATAACTTTTGTATATACAGTATACATATAGATAACTAAGGGGACTTTGTTTGTTTTTGAATGAACAAAATAAATTTTTATTTTGAAAATGAATGAAGTAATAATTTATAAACAGAAATAAATAAAATATCAAATTAAACATAGTATAATTATTATTGTTGAGAGTAAATTTGATTATTAGGTATTCGTCAATCATAAAGTGACATGTAAATTCCAGTTTTATATAGTATTTCGCGAATGAATTTCTTTTTACATTAAACTATCCAACAAACTTCGAAAATTAGAAAATGTGAAAAACATAAATTACATCAGGCTATCAAACACTTTATTTTTGGTGGTGTGTTTTCAAAATATTATCCATGTAGTTTTTGCAGAAAACCAACTAGTTATTAGCTCTACAGTACAACGATACAGTATTTAAATTGACACAGATAAATCTTATAAAATATCTCATAAATATACACAATTTCTAAAACACATTTATAATCGAACAACATACTGAAATAGGAAAAAAGAAACATAAACATCTAAAATTTAAGAACAACCAGATATTATCCCAAGCAATTACTTCCGTAACGAAGTTATTTTTTAGTCTTTTTATGTAGCTTCATAAATTTCGGAAGATACTACATTTGTTTTATATGTAAATTTAACTGTGTTGGCAAAAAAAATGTAAACTTAACTGTCTTTTTTTTTTGTAGTGCATATTATTTACTTTTAGTCGTTATTTTTTTAATAATGCCCAAAGACAAATAGTAAAAACGGTAACTAATTTTGTTTGATGTAATGGCTAATGGTACACATTAATTTAGTCTTGTTGTGCTTGTAATTCAGTCTCTTTTGAGTAAAATGGTACTATAAAAAGAAATAAACTATTTTGTAAATTTTTTAAAATTTTTATGAAGTTCTTATGCGTATTTAGAAATAATAATATATGCATCAAAATATACTGTTGAAGCAATGGGTAACAAATCCCAGCATTTATGTGCAAATATGTTTTTAAAACACCTCCCCTAGTTTTTTGTTTCTTACCTTTATTATCTTCTTAGATTCCCAAATAAATTTAAATTAAGGGGAAACAGTAATACAACCTCTGGGACCTGACAACACTAATTATTTCCACTCCCATTTTCCCTTTTTTATCCTCTTCCTTTTGGCTTTTTCTTTATAATTTATTTTAATTCCTTAATCATGATTTTCAGGCAATTAATTATTATTTAACCAACCTTTGGTTTCAAAATCAACCACTTTGTCATACCTTAACCCAACCACCGTATCGAAATTTCCTAGATGACGTATTTTCTTTACTACCAATAAAAATCATTGTATTTTTTTGAAAAAAATTGTAAAATACTTTTGTATTTTATACGAATATTGCCAAAAAAGTAATTAAATATTTATATGGTTTGTACCAATGCGGTATAAAATGGGATAAATGCAATACATACCAAATAGTAACAAAAA